CAGGCTTTTTGTTGCACACTGTTACACAATCTTTTCAGAACCTCTGAAATAGTTTATTGTGCCAGCCTGGCCGATAAACACAAGTGGGATTAACTGAAGGGCAGAGAGATAAATGCCTTGGTGAGTCTCGCCTTTCTTGTCTCTCGCTCTTTGATCATCGGACCAGTGTGCGGTTGCCTTGCTTGTCCTGTGCCTCAATTTAAAGGCTACACTACCTGTGGGACCCCTAGCCTGTGGACTGTGTCGCTGTACGTTGAGGTCCCTTTAAGACATCGCTGGAGCTGGGGACTGGCAGTTGGTGACCTGGCTGGCAGTTGGTGACCTGCCTTCTGATTGGCTGCTGTGCTGACATAGCTTAGCTCTCTCTATAAATAGAGGAAGCTCTGGCAGCAGATCGGACTGGAAGGACTGCTAGTCTCTAACATCTCTCTCATGGCAGTGAGTTGAATTGAGCCATTTGTAGTGTTTTATAATTTAACTTTTTCTTTCTTGTATTATATATTTAACTGTATATGATTTAACAGTTCATTCCTTGTTATATATCTACTTATCTTTATAAATAAATATATTAAATTATCAGCAATTTGGTTTTATCTCTCTAGAGAACCCTGTCTAACACAACCTCTAAATAGAAAGGTTGATTGACAAGTCTGACCCAGTGGAACGAACTTCAAATACACTACAAGTTGACATTTTCGTCCATTCGGAAGTTGACAGACATCCAAATTGAGGTTTATCATCAGTCAACAATTCACCATTTTTGAAATGAGAAAACCATTTGTACACTTAAGTTTTTCCCATAGCGCTGTCCTTGTAAGCTGTGTTCAACATCACAATAGTTTCTGTGGCATTTTTCCTGAGCAGGAAACAAAATTTCACAGCCACACACTGTTCTCTTAAATCGGCCATCACAAAAAACGAGGTCCAAGCGAACCTGCTTTTACGAAAAAATTCACTGTGGCCAGAGAGAACCTTCCCAGGTGACACCACTGGGTGCGCTAACTCAGAGAGAGTTGCTTGATGCTTGCCTGGTGGGGAAAATGCGTACTATGAAAGCTCTGCCCAGTGTAGTGTTCCATTGGTTTTTTTTTTCTTGTACCCCCTCATATAATACTATAACAGACAGCACTGTACTGTATGATTGATTTGACAACAAATGCCACATTACTTATCTCAATTGTGTCATTCCCAGCACAGTAAATCATGTTATTTTCTGATTCAAAATGGGCAGTATCAGTCCATTTCAGCTCACACATGCTTAGGACATCCATCTTTATGTGTTCCATTTCATGTCTGATCGCTTCCAACTTCCTAGATTCATACTTCGCACATTCCACGTTCCAATCACCAGATTTCTGCAGCTGTTTCTCCTTAGGTGGGTTGTGCCCCACCAGCCAACGAAGCGCCCGAAGACTCCACAGGCTTTACCCGACTCACGTCACCATCGCTGGCTACACTCCGAGAAAGCAGCTTCTTTTCAAGGGCCTGTCCTATACTTCCATCCATCGGGCCCTCTGTACCTGACAATGTTTTGAAGCTCTGCAGAAGGTTTTCGGCGGCTCCTCCCTCCACTGTGGGGAGCGGAGTCCTCCTTTGCTGTCTGTCCTGAGTCTGGAAGTCCGCAGAAACCCGTTCACTTTGGGTGACCCTGCTGGCATTTGAAATACCAGTGATATAGCTTCCGGCATCCTAGCAACACACAAGCCACCACAGTATGACAGACTGACAGGCCAGTGGTGGGCATTTCCTACATGGTTAACTTTTACAAATGTCCCATGTGCCCCCGGAGTGTGTTCTCCCCGCAGCGACTGAATGCAGTGTGAAACAGGTGTGCTCCCACTTCCCACGGTACCATGCTCGTGGTTCTGTTAAACGTGTTTGGCTATATTGTGAGATTATGTTAATATGCACGGGTACACTCAAATATAAAGCTCATCTTCTTAGTGAATGGAACAGTGATCATGAACTTCCCTCTTACCCTCAGCATTCCTTTTAGCCCCAAAGCCTGTTTGGTGATATTAATGAATACAGCCACCGCATATTTATGCTGAGCATATTTATGGAGGATCGCTTTCTAAACTTTCGCTTCAGTCCGTCTTTGTCTTCCTATTTAAATGTATCTGTTGCAAGCGGCATTACTGACAGTTTAGGGCAGAAGGCTGCTCATCCCCACTCTGAGTGACCTCCTGAGCTCAAGCTTTAGCGACTGCGTCAGCGATGCAGTAACGGGGAGAGGACTGGCTAGTTTGTTTCAGTGATTTAAGTGATCCCCATGATTTGATTCTTCAGTCTACTGGAGCGCCTTCACTGAGGCTGGCATATTGAGCTACATGAATGCCTTTCACTGTTCTAGTTCTAGGGATTGCTGCACTCACTGGGATGCCACGAAATAGCACTTTAAATGTTATGAGGGCTGATGAATCTTGGATTTTTTAAAATCTTAGAAGCTTAACTCTCTTAAGAATACTTAAAATAACACAAGACATGAGTATATATATATATATATAAAATTATGCATGTGTGTATATAGGTATATATCATTATATATTAAGTATATGAATATATTTGGAAATATATCTGCATATTTCTATTCATATGTTTAATACATAGTAAATATATAGCATATACATGTTTTATATATTTATACATTTAATACCTAATGTATATAAAATGCTATCTAAATATAAATACCTATATATATATCATATGTATTTATATATATTATTCATATTATAAATACATATTTATGTGTAAGTATGCATACACATAAACATTATAGGTAGCATATAAGGTATATATTAAGTCTATGTAAATATGCGTATTTATGTGTACGTGTAAATAAAACCACAACAGCTGCCCTTGTGTAGAATGGACGCCTGGTGCCCTCACTGGTGTTGCCCTGTGCGCCCCAGGGTTTCTCAGGGATGGATTTTTCTGGGATGCCTGTGGGAGGACTTGAGCATCTGACCTTTGGGTTGCCAGCAGAGCCCTCTGGAGGGTCCTGCTTCCTCTGTATGTTTATACATGTGTGCATACCTAGGGGTTTTAAAATGTTTCTAGAAAAGTTCCATTATCATTTAATTCCATTTTCCCCCCACAAACTCTGACGCTCCATCAAGTGCGTGTGCATACATGTACACACCATATGAATGTATCCGTGTGCATGTATGTAAATACAAGTACTCAATTCAAAGAAAAGTGAATCGGCCCTCCATCTCCTGCGGGACAGACTGGAGAGCAGTTGCCCTCCATTTACTCCCGTTCTGACGGAGCGGATCATGTGGTCATGTGATAACTGTATCGTTGAGATCCGAAATCTCCGACGATATTGGCATGCCTGCACACACAGTGTTTTCTTGGGTTCACATTGGTGTGTGCCCCATGCATGTGGTCAGACACCCGGAGTTTCCCTCGGGAATCAGTTTCCTTCTTCCTGAAGGATGCCCACTGGTGCCGGTCTGCTAGTGTGAGACTGGCCGCGACGTTGGAAACATCTGTCAGTGTGGTTCTCTGTGCAACGTTCCCTGGGTCCAGAGCGAGGGGCTCGCTGGGATTCCTGTGGTGCGTGGAAGGTTATCTTTCAACTGTCTTCTTGACAGCCTGTTGTTAAGTCTCTGAATGATGTCTTTTCAAATCTGGTTGCTTAATATTTTACCTTTCATTGAGTTTTCAGCAGTCGCACTCAGTCACTGTTAAATTTAGATGTGGAAAGCTCTCCGCCACGTCTCTTCAGATACGGAGGCAGACATAATCTCCTGTCAACTTGAGCGAAGGGGTGGAGTTTAGCCTGTCAATCAGTTCATGGCTTGATGACCCCATTTAGAGGTACGAGGGAGATAAATAGCTCACGGGAGGCCAGACCCAGTCTCTCTGCCTTTCCTTTCCTGCTGTTGAGACACTCAAGAGAGCCGGAGGAGACATGTAGAGACCGGTGCCAGTGCTGAGATGCTTCCACTGCCACTGGATCCACAAGACCTTCCATCTACTGGCCTGTGATCTTCCTGCATTCGGCATCATTGCATGTGCTGCATGAGTCTAAAGAGGAATTTATGAACTGGTATCGGACATATAGGCTAATATCGGACTTACGGACTTGATCTGGACTGGGCTGGGATGTTTTCTCAATACACAATTGCTCTTTATAGAAAGCTCCTTCTTAGACATGAGTGTCTATGAATGTGCTCCTCTAGTCCACCCAGACAAACACAGATACAGTCTTTCTTCTTGGGACTAGAGGTAGGCTAGACCCTGTTCTCGAACTCCCTATTAAGACGAGTCCCGTGGGGGTGGAGATTCCAGGCATGGTGAGGTACACACTTTGTAATTTCTAAAGTAACTATGAAAATAATGCACTTAAGTAGAGTCCCAAGAGGAAAGGAAAAATACAAATATATTTCCCAGAATATAGCTTCCCCCCCCAAAAAAAGTTGCCATCAAGTTGATCCCAACACATGGTGACCCGTGGGTTGGAAAGGAGCTACCGGCAGGGTTTTCCTCGAGTGAACTCTTAGTGAAAGCACACTGCCAGGCCTTTCTTCCACAGCCCTGCTGGGTGGATTTGAACCACCATCCTTCAGTCCATTGAAAACTGCTTGAAAGAGATGAAAGCCCTCAGATGGGGCCCCCAGGAGCCCATACTCCTTACTGCCCTTTCCCGGGGTTCCTCTTCCTGACCCACACTCAGCGGATGGTGTCCTCTCTGCTTCACTGCAGTGGGCTTATCTTTCTTTGTCGGGTTTCCACTCGGTTCTCTTTAGATGCTGCCACCTTCCCGTTTGCTTTTCTTTCAGTCTCCCAGTGCCACCCAGTCGCACTGCACGCATCGTACTACCTGCTACGGAATGCCCGCTGCCCACAGGCACAGAGCTTGCCAGGTCCTGCAACCCAGCCCGGGAATGAACCCAGCCCGGCCTTCCGCGCCCCACTCCTCCAGCTCGTGTACCCCCTTCTGCTCTCCTCCACTCTGTCCTTCCGGCCCCTGGCCGCCCCGCCGGCCCCACTCACGGCAGTGGGTACTTCTTCCACAGCAGCTTGGCCGGCAGCGTCTGGTAAATCGTCTTCTGCTTCCCGTCCAGCGTGGGGC